GACGTTAGTCGAGCAAACGATCCCCTACGTTCCCGATCTAGGGCCCGCATGATCGTTTGCTCGACTAACGTCTATTGTTCTGGTATCCCCGCAGTTGCACATTCAAAGAGATGCGAATTCGCAATGAGGTTGCTGAACTCATCAAGGCTGCCAGGGCCAAAAGGCTCGACGAAAATGCCGTGGATAGTATATGGCTTAACGATAAAGTAATTGAGGATTATAAAAGGACAAACGGCATGCTGCTCCCCGTGCATGAAGAAGCATGGTTCGAGACGATGCAGCACCCTATTTAGACTTCAAGCTATTGAAAGAACGCATAGCGTCCTGTAATCTGACTAGACGTTCACCTTACATTGTGCATTTTTGCCAACAGCTGCCCCTGAACTTCCAAGTACCTTTTAGTGATGTTGACGTTATAATTAAATATGTTGCAAGTTGAACCGCAACAGGGTGCTCTGTACTGGAAATCGCTCGCTATCACTTCGAACTATATGCTCCTCGTTTCACACAAACATTAGCTTGAAGATCCGGTAGTTCGTTCTAGTTTACGCGAAAACAGACAGGAAACTTGAAGTCGGACATGTCTTGCGGACATCATTCAAGACAACGAAGGATTCACATTAAACTGTTCCTTTATTCAGACGCCACGTGCTCCTTCGCCACTTAGTCTTCGCCTGTTTTCACCAAAAGCCTTTCTATACTATTCCAAACGTCCTGCATTCTATTATCCAATATGAAGATCATTTGATCCATCAGAGTATTTTCGTGCCGCAAATTCGTGTCAGGTTGAATGGAATTATGATCTTTGAATAAAGAGGAGTAGTGCAACGAGTTAATATATACATCATCCGAGAAAGGACATATTTAGTCCGATCTCGCATCATGCCAACGGGTGGAGTGGATGTCACAAGCTAAAGCTTCTTGTTGACAAGCTTCTCCTCGCGATTTATCCAGCGAGCTTAGATTTAGTGTATAAAGCTAAAGCGGGGGCTGAAATTTGCGTTTGTGAAGGAATTTTGAGACGAAGGACTTACCCTCCTGGGTGAGCGCCGCGTGATTGGACTTGACCGAAATACCCGACGATTGTCCCTCTTACCGAGGTGCGAGGACCACTCCTAGAAAAGTGTGCTTTCGCTTCTACACACAGTTCCATGATGTCCATAATCCTCGATCTACAAGGATCAAAGAGTTGAGAACTACGCGTCCTCAAGAATAATTTTCATGAGTGCAACTGATGCTATTATTTTTATGCAGGAAAACAAAACAAACAGACATATCGCTGGTGGTGTCTTTACCTGTGTGTACAGAACACTCGTGATTGAAAGACCCGGAAGGTGTAGTAATCTATGTCAAGCTTAGAATGGCTCCCTTCAACATGAATATTGCTTGCTCCCATGGGTATAAGATTGGACGACGGGTGAGCGTCTCTTCCACAGCACTTTGTCGCTTCTGGGTCAGTGCGTTTCTGCTATTCGTAATGGAGAGCTGAGGCGTATTAAGCAATGCCGGCAAAGGTGACACTCCTGAGGAGCCTTTACACGGCCTCCCGTCACAATTCAAGTCGTACTGTCGCCAAACATTCTCCAAGACGGTGCATGTGGTAGGGATCGTCTAAGAGCGAGAGTAGTAAGTTGCCAATTAAAGAACTTGATGGTTGAAGAGAATGTAGAAACTCACCCCAAAATTTCTTTGCCACTGAAATGTATGCAAAATATTGAGTACCTGCTTTCGATCCTTCTCTTCAGTGATCGTGCATCCGGCAATGAAGACCGGCCAGATTGGTTGGGCAGCGGTGACGACCTCGAGCGAGCACACCCTCTCAGCTAGTGAAATCATCTGTTCAATATAATCCCAGCATTTCCATCTGCAAGCCGGAATAATCGGAGGGAATCGGAGGGCACAAGTTTCATTTAGGAAAACAAGTGCAGCGAGCCTGTTTGCTTCTGCCGTTGCTGTTATTACTTCAAGAGTATGATCTGGACAGAATTCATATTTGAAAGCGCCTTCGCCAAAGCTCTGGCGAGGGGTTCGACTCGAAACTTATGTGGTTGTGGCGCTAGCTGTGTAAGGTCTTCGAGGTTATTGCATATTATCTTCACCCTTTCAGCAAGTCTACAGTTCTCCTCAGAGCCGTGACCTGCTTTCGAGATATGATAACTGGCCAAGTCGCAGATGTTATTGACCAGAAGAAGGAGGCTGTTGCTGAAGCCTTGATAAGCATCTATCTGATCCAATTTTTTGAGTCGATTGACGGAGAAGTCGAAGTTTAAATAATTGAAGGAAGTCTTTTTGCCTAGAAGCTCTGCGAGATCAGTGCATGTATATTCAATGTGGTCGTGGCACCCTGGCAAGTGGCGAGGCGTAATGTCGGATACAGAATATCTTCGTAATTGAGGTGATGACGCCATGTCCCGAGAAGTCTTGACAGTGCGGCGTTTGAATTTGGCAGTAGATTGTCAACATGAAAGGTTGCCTTGGCCATTATTAAATGGTAGACAAGATACTGCCAGCAAAATTGCACCAGTTTTATAGCATGACTTTGCCTGATTGTCAGCGGCGTCACAACTTCCGCCTATGGCCTTCTCTGCAAACTGGAAAACAATAGACGTGACAAACTTCAAGGGTCTGGACCATTTGCTATGTCTGAAGAGGAAGAGAGAGCTGAGGCCTTCTCGGACCTGACAGACAAGGAGAAGCTCAACTTTCGGTACACCTATTGATGTATTAAAGAAGACTTAGATTGATAGGCCTTTTTAGTCCCGGTTTTACATGTGCCACAGACTATGGAAGAGGAGCTTGGAGGTATAGAACGAGGTAAACAGGCATCGGTAAGCGAAGGTACGGTATCTTGAAAAATATCTTGAGTCTCTGCTTGCTGTGTGTGAAAAGTCATTCATGTAGAATAGCCACCAAACTTGTCAGCAATCTATGATATGAATTCGAAGCAGTGCCCGGATCACGATGCCTTGCACTGCTCGTTATCAATGGCCTCAGCTGTTCTGCTCAGTACACATAGACAAACTCATCATTCTCCCTATCTGTCATATCCAAAAAGGCGTTCTCTCCGAGTACATTCGTGTTCACTGCTTCTTCCTCAACTGGCGCTGCTGCTATAAAGCGAGTATTCATACTATGATCATGAATCTTGCGAGGTTTTCCATTCTGCTCACGACGGTGTTCCTGCACACGGTTGAGGAAGAACAGATTTATCACCTGTAATCCAATGACAGCCATGAGCGTGCAGGCAATCGCCATGACACGAGAGAGACCTGGAAGGTACTTTGGCGCATCCGACGCATTAAATAGAAGAGGTCCGATAATATTGCCCGCCGACGCCCCAGCATTATATAGACTCATGACTGCTGACTTCTTGGTGGTTCCACCTGTGTTGGAAATCAACCAACTCATGATCAGCGGGTTACAGCCAAATAGGAATGCCAGCATGTAGTATGCAGCCAAGAGTCCAGGAATGTTTGAACGGTCAAGGACGTAAAGCATAACGGCACCTGCTAGGACTGGCAGCATGAGCGTGACGAGGACAGGAGACTTGAGGCGGAGTCGGTAGGCAAGCCAAGCGGTAGGGAGAATGACGATGAGCTGGACAAACCCGAAGGGAATGTTCAGCAGAGATGCGATGGCTCCGGTAAATCCAAAGCCCGAAACCACAATAGGGCCGAAGGTGTTGGTGACCGCAGAAGTGGTATTTAGACAGACTCCCATGGCAACGTACAGCCAAGTCTTGGGCTCGAGAAGCACCTCTTTAATCTGCTTCCATTTGAAGTTTCGTGAACCGGTACCAGTCTGATTTGCACGAAGACGTTCAATGGCTTGCAGTTTCTCGTGATCATTGAGAAAGCGGGCCGACGGTATGTCGTTGTCAAGAAGGAACCAGATCAGGGGAACGGAAAAGACTGTGAGTAATCCAACAAAGATGAACTGGATCTGCCATGAATGTAGAGCATTGCTCTTGATTTGGCCCAAACCGTATGACATGGCAGCAGCAAACATGCTGGCCAAACCATTGGTGCCATACCAGCAGGCAATGCGAAGAGGCTGCTCAGCGCGACGGTACCACTGAGCCGTGATAACGGAGAAAAGAGGCAGACAGCCTGCCTCGAACAAGCCAAGGAAGAAACGAGCAGCAAGCAGTCCACTATAGTTGGTAGCAGCCGCCATGCATACCTGAGCAACACCCCAGCCAAAGCAAAGGATGCACATGAGGTAGCGGTGTGGTACCCGCACGATGAGATAGGAAGAAAATGGTTGCCATGCTAACTGGGCAATTGCTGAAATAGAGCTGACCATCGAGTATTGGTTACCTGTCAGGTTTGTATCGGTCCGAAGACCAAAGATGGCTCCATAGCCCAGCACCGATTTGTCGAGAATCTGGAGAAAGTATACCCAGACCAGTACCACGAGAATTGTACGATCCGTCTTTCGGAGAATCCGCTTGTTCTGTCACAAGAAGTGCGTGTCAGTGACTGCAGCGGGTTACAGGAAAGACCATGTATTTATATTAGGGGTGATGGATGGTAATGACATACGTCCTCTTCGGTGAGTTCAATTTGTAGGTCGCCAATGAGCTCAGCAGCGCGGTCACCCTTTACAGGCTGTTTCATCGCCTTGAGCTCGACCTCCTCGCATTGCGAGTTATGCTCCAAGGTAGCTTTGCTGACATCGTTGTCTTGCTCCATTGTTCACAAGGCTAAGGCGTGCGCACGGTTGGATGAGAAGGATAGGAGGTTGGCTAGGTCGGCCTGTTGGTGTAGAGAGTGAGAGACAGGCTTTATAAGGGCTTTCCAAGCCAACGCTCTCCACACTTTTTAGTTTCGTAGGATGCGGAGCCCCCACCGGGGCATACCCATCCCAGTTGAGGAGCCGAGCTTTGAAAGGGTTCCTGATCTCCACGCTCACAACCGTGGGGGTCAGTCAAGACATGCTAACGGCGTAGGAGCAACACAAATTAACAGGTTTGCAACCATTACGTGACTAGGCAAGCTTAGTCCAGAGCCCACGCTTAGGCTCTCTAACTAGAGGCCACTCAGAAAGAGATTTGGGGAATTAGTGAGACCCACAGAAACACATCTAGCATCATCACGAACAAGCACCCCACGGTTTGCAGACGTGACCCGTGCCCCCCTTCCCCACACTCTCCCCCAACCAACCCCACGGAGCTCTAACATGACCCAATTCTCCTTTCCCCATATTCCCCCATCCACAAGCGTAGACCCCCACGAACGTGGATTCTTGGATGAACATACGGAGCCGAATGCAGCTTTACTCCTCCGCCATGGTACTAAACATTCATTCTTAAAGAGTAAAGATTCTCAATATTGAGGGTTATAATACTGTCAAGCTCTTGAATGTTCTGTTTATTACCATAGGTCTATCATTTTCCACAAAGTTAGTGATACCCTTGCCGAACTAGCATTTATTACCCTGGCGGAGGAGTATAAACATGTGGCGATAAGTCGCAAATGGGCCTAAGAGTGGAATCATAGAAGCTGACTAAATTCATGAACTTTCAGGTCTGGATGTCCGATACCACTTTAGTGATAGGATTCCAGGGTGTTTGAAAATATTTCGGTTATATTGAGCAAGTAGGTCAACAGTAGTCAAAGAGCTTGATAGTACTAATTTTGGGAGTGTTGGCGCATGCGATATGCATTGTTCAATGTTATTTGTTCCGCCTTAGGACGGTGTCGACAGCATGTCATGGCCAAGCTGGGACATGGGAATCCGAGCTGGGTCGCTCTTGAGAACGAGGCGATTCATGTGTGTTGCAAGGAAGACTTAGAGTATTCATGAGGAAGCGGTATTTTTGGCTGATTGGGTCGTTCGACCCAGTCTCGGCGTGGGGTCAGAGACTCTTCTAGCGTTGACTGCTAGCGTTTATCGTGCCAGTTGAACTTGCGCGAAAGATAATCTCTATCAAACCTGTCCGCGGGCAAGTCATCGCCAGAGCGAAATACCAGGGGCTGTTTTCTGTACTCGCGAGTGATATACTCATCACTACAGCAATGTGAGTATATTGTATACTTGCTATTCCTATACTCGTCACTGCCGTATCTAGTGTCAATATCACACTCACTAGTGTTATACTCGTGACCAACTACTTGGCTGGCAGTTCTAACCCCCTAACTTGTACTTGTCACTGGTAATAACTTGGATGGAAAATTATATGCTTATAGTCGTCAATGCTAGAGTTTGATGAAGATTTGAAGCTTCTATTATCTTATACTCGTCACCGCTAAGCTGGGTGCAAATTCGATGCTTACACTGGTCGCCACATACGTGCTTGAGGATTCTGCACTCGTAGTCGCTGCGAAGTCTGCGGTCATTTTTGACGCAAGTTGTGTCCCCAATAGAACGGGTGATTGCTATGCACTCCCAGTTGTCGTGAAATTACAAGGCGGCACGTAATTTCTGGGCAGTAGGTTCTACACGAGATATTGATAAGTGATATGGTGCAAGCATGGATCTTCGGAGATCTAGTGCGACCGTATTGGTTTCAGAATTGCTTTTTCGATGCTGCGAACATTAAAACTTTCGCAGTACAAGTCCTTGAGATTAAAACAGTGACAGGACTAAGAACTGTTAGTTTGATTAACTGTATTGCCTACTTTAGGGGCCAAGTTCTGAATCGCTTCGTTTGCTGCGACGACTGTGTAAATCCTGAACCAGGATTCGAGATGGAAGCGAAGCACGAGGGTCCATCCAGTGCAAAAGACATCCGGCTTCTAATAGCGATGAAAGAAACAACTTGTCAGCAACCTATATACACGGTAGACGAGTGCGGCTAACCAGACTGTGTGAGCTCTGGATCTAGAAGCGCTCACTCTGGAAATGGAGATGCTTGACGGTTACTGCTTGACACAAGACAGGTTCGTTACACACATAGATGTGTGGCAAGGGTTACTCATGCTATAATGGCTGATGATTTTACGTTTCTGGTCTACCATGAGAAATCTTCCTTGACCAAACTTTCTGACAGGTGCCATAATTTTTCCGCCTCATTACTTGACACAGCCAATGGATGAGCCATTATACAGATTTGGCAATCCGCTAAGTACGCACCATAATTCTCGTTACCGTCTTTGTTCTCACCTGGTCCTAGCTGAGGATCCAATGCCGCAACTAGGCTAGTCGACGCTCCGGCACCTTGTGTCCTATATGAAAACATCCCTCCCTTGTGCATCTCTGCTATTGCCGCCGATGTTTCGGGTGTAGCATTTCTCCCGAGTTCTGTTTTTATAATACCAGGATGAACAGCCAAGCTTAGGATGCCGTACTTGTCGAAAAGTCTTCTTGTCGCGGCAATGCTGAATAGCACATTCGCGACTTTGCTTTGATTATAGCCCTCTAACGGAACATATGCTTTATTCTCTATGTCGTCTACTCCCCAACGCTTGAGCATGTCGTAATTTGGCTGGTCTGCTTCTGGAAGATCCTTGTTTCTCTTATCAAAATTGATATCGCTCCAGCGCATGCTCGATACCATTGGAGAAGCGGATGATACGTTGATGATCCGAGTCATTCCTCGAGGAGCAGTTTGTGACGCCTTCATTAGCTTCGGCATGATCAAACATGCAAACAAAAAGTGGCCAATGTGATTCGTTGCAAAATGCATCTCGATGCCGTCCTCACTCAGTGTACGCTCGGGAAGCAGCATCACACCTGCGCTGTTCACTATAATGTTAATGGTAGGTACGTCTTGCAAAGCCAGAACCTCAGCAGCCGCACTGCGCACAGACTGTTGGCTCGAAAGATTGATATGGAGAGGACGGTAATCCACATCTGGGAATTTCTTCTGAAGAGCATCAATGCTTTCCTGGATTTTAGACACGCTTCGCCCAGCAATCACGAGATGGCTCGGACGTTGAGAAGCCTGGAGTATTGTCAGTTGCTGTCATCTTTTCGTCGCGTCAAGACTCAGCCTATACAAAAGCCTCGGCGGTCGTGAATCCTATCCCATCACGATTCACTCCGGTAACAATTATTGTCTTGCCTCTTATGCCTTCCGCAAAGGCTGCAGCAACCTCCAGTGCTTCAGTGTGATGATTATATTCTGGATGAGATGTACTGGGCATCTTATAAATGTTCTCAAAGGACAAACTTCTAATTTAACCAGTTTGTGAATGTGTGTAGTAAGGGATAGATAGATGTTGTGAAACGTTGATTTTCAGATGAGAGAAGATTCGCGACTGGACGTGGTCTTTATAATCGCGCTTTTACCTTGTTTAGCTTCTTTGTAGCAGATGGAGCACATGGGCGCTTTACTTGTGCCCTGCTTCACCCCCGACGAAAGTCGCTCAAAACTGAAACATGGACTTACCGGAATTAATCTCGCGAGAGCCGAATGAAGTGTGATTCCTAAACTATCATGAGGGGTTCGATACTCGCAATTCTGCTTTGCTGATGATTTCATCATGCCTCGTGTGGTTTCGAAACAAATAGCCAATCAGAGATTGCACGCCAAATGTGGCAAGCCTTGCCGCCTTATAGCACGCTCTGATTGGACAGCTTTCGATCTTTGCTTGAATTTGACCAATGAGAGATTGATTTCCCCATGAGGTAAGTAACCTCCCATTTGGTTTCTTACACATTTCGAAAATTGGCGCGGGTGGAGGTCAGGGCGCTATTACCTTGCGTTCTCCGATCTACCTCCGTAACTCTTTCAACTTGGTCACGAACTGGAGATCCAGTGTGCCGCAATTGACGATAGCTTACATGTTCAATTCTATTCTTGTGATGTCTCAACTCGACAGCATGTTCAATTATTTATTGTTAAGAGCACTGAAATTCCCAATGGTTTACAATGCAAACTTTGCAAGTGCAATGTATCCAAAATTGGATTCCATTGTCTATACTTTCTCATCCGAGTTGATTTCAACAACCTCCTCAGCTCGAGGTGTATCAAGCCATCTTTCCAGTTGCTCGCCACTTATTTGCTCAAACCTCATGCTCTTCTCCTCGGCTGCAAAGTTTCCTACAAAGCACAAGAGCCAATATACCACACTGCTCAATGTACATGTAAGGAGCCAGCCAACTTGATAGATATGCAGCCACTCCACTGGCACGTTCTCTCCAAAGGTCCGTGCAAACCCGGGGATTGGCAGAACAACAGCAACTACATATGCAACCACTGCCCTCCAGTTGACACCAAGTCTATACCAATATCTACCCTCTGGCGTGTATAGATCGGGTAGATATATGTTTCCTCTGCGACAGACAAGATAATCGGTCAGAAAAATGCCGACGAATGGCCCTAGGAAAATCGAATAGCCGCCGAGGAACTGGAGGAAGCTTGTTGCACTCTTGAGTATTCTCCAAGGGCAAATGATAATACCAAGAATGTAAGATATGTACATTCCTCGCTTAATATTGATGTACCGTGGTAGTAGAACAGTTGAGTCTGCGCCCCATGGGATGACATTCGCTCTGCTCACTGTTAGATGAATCCGAAGGCAATGGTGAAACACACTCACCCTAGATTTGACCCAATAATTGAGAATATAAATCCAAGGGACACAACAGCAACTCCAGCTCTTGCTCCATGAGTAGGATATTTCTCAAGTATAGCCAAGCAGAGATCCCAAGGGTTCCAAATCAATTGTCCCCACCCAGCCCGGATGGCACTGGCCCCGAAGATACCGAGGGTTGCACACAAAGTATTTCCAATAGGAAGAGCGAT